ATAGGTCATGTGGTTTTAACATATGTATTGTCCCATTATTTCTGTTCTTGTACATTGTTCACTGCTCACGAGGGCAGACACACTTTTCCACAGAGCGCTCTATTTACTCATTGGACTTGACCCTGGGCAAATTCAATGGTCTGATTTAGCGGACATTAAAGCGTCTTAAATTAGAGCTGGCCTGGAGGGTGTCCATAGAGAAGGGCATTGGAGAGATGAGGTAGAAACCAGGATTTAGGACAATCCCATTGACAGAGCAATGGGACATTTCAAGGATTTGTGTGTTTTCGTTTGGACTCATTATTACTGTCTCTACAGCAAAGCCAGGTTTTTGGGTTTTTTTCACTTTGAAAAAAATGAATGCAATTGGTTCAGGACTTTGGGCAGCTAGAAAGCATTCAGAAATGTGCGATGAAAAAACCTTGCTCAAAAAGAAGTTGAGATGTCGATGCACCACACATTGCAAAGAATCTAATTAAAAAATACTCGGGAGGCCAGTCAGCACCTTGCAAGATTAACTTTGTATTCAATGTGAAGTTTTTCCAGGCATCCTCTTTTAATTAGGTGTCCCAAACGCTGTAGTTGAAACCTTGTCGTTTTGTGGCTTAACTTGTCTTATGTTTGTCTCAAAATGTCTCTAATGTTTACACAGAAAAATGCATCTTTTGGACAGACTTCTTAATATTAAGTTCATCACTGGTTCAAAGTAGATGCAACAATGGAATTCAGTAAAGTATTGTTAAGCTGTTTTGCTTTTCAAACTGATATTGTTCATTCATTTATTTATTGTTTTGCCTATTTATTGCATAAAGGTCAAGTGTTGCTTTCAAATGTAAAATGTTCAGTATTGGCTCATTGAAAAGCCAGGAGCACTTTCCCCTTTGTGGACAGGATCCATGCATACTGTATGTGCACTGTTGTTATTTGAGGCAGCACCACCGACAGCGAGGCCGAATCAATGTGTCCTACTTTTCAATTGTTATTCATACTCAAACACAATCTGGAAGAAATCAACATGCACCCTGGACTCAACAGCTGCTATCTCTCCACACGGCCTTCTGGTGCACTCTACCTGTTACAAGGTAGTAGTCGTAGTATTTCTGTCTTTTTATAAGCCTTTCCAATGTTCTTGCTCTTTTCGGAATTTGATCAAAATAGTGTGAGAGTTACCCCAAAAGATGATATCATCAGCATCATCTGATTTTGCTGTGCTGCGGATATTCCAGAAACACTTTCCTGGGAGATATACGAGACCCTGTCCTTACAAAGAGTGTTGCACTGGATTCTGGATTAGATGAGTGCACAAAAAATAATCCCTTTCTAATAATAATTTGCCATACACAATATATCACATTACTGTTTGTCCTGAGAGAGCTGAGCAAGTTAATCTGTGCAGAGTCATTTTCTTGTCTAATGGTAGGTCCATCGTGGAAGTAGACTGGCACAACGCAGCGACTAAACAGTTGCCTATATGAAACACATTCTAGAACAGGCATGTCAAACTCAAGACCATTTTTAGTGGCCCCTGATAAGATTTTCAATTATCTTCATCAAAGTAACTTGCAGCATTAATGGTAAAGAGATGCTATGGCATGTTGTACTTCATTTTAAAGTCTAATATCACAGGAAAACAACCATTTAATTGAATATTTTCCAAAATTTAAATGGCATGTAAACAGAAGTTATAGTTACTTAATTATTATTATTTTCATATTAAACTATCAGTCGTTTTTACTCCATCTCTTCTTGATATTTGGCCCCAACCAGCTCTTATGTTTTGGAATTTGGCCCCCAACCAAAATGAGTTTGACACCTCTTTTCTAGAACAACAGCCCTAGTTATTTTCTAATACTAATGGGCTCCTGTGCATCTTTTAAATCAGTTATAATCTCTCAAATTCAATACCTTTTACCTCAATGTGAATGCAACAAGCCTAAACCTGACTCAGTATCCATGACAAACACACCAACGGGACATAGGAATCTCCGCAGCATGGGAAAGCTCTGAAACGTGGGTGACAACGCTTGGCCTTTCTGTTGTAACTCCTCAGTACTTTGACCTGACAGTGATCTCTGTGAGATCGACGAAACATTTTCACATTGAAAAGTTTCATCAGCTGATCTTGAGCCGTTGGAGCCGTGCATGTATGATATTGTTTCGTGCATATGTGTTTTCTAAATGAACAACTTAATAAAAACAACTCACTGAGCGGTGCTTTCTCTCCTGGAGTCTTTCTGAATTATGCTTTGCACCTTGTCATTTTCAGCTTCAGCAGATTTTACTGTCTTTTACTGCCGGGAAGAGTGAGTGGCGCCTCAGGGCACCATCAAAGCTATAAAATGCATAACATTATGAATAAGCATATAAATGAGAGCAAATGGCAGAAGTAATATCCTTTACGGTGGATAAAGAATATATTTACCAAATTTAAGCGTTTTATTACAGATTAAGGGTTCATTCAAACGCAAGGGATTTTGACAACGATATAAAGACATATCCAATACAAACAATGATTACTGCCACTGATCTTAATACTCAGGTTGTTATATAGAACTACAGTTGAGAGAGTTTCCACCAAAAACAGCAAAATGACATGGAGAGCTACTGTGAAATATTGATTGCAGTGTTGCAGAGATGCTTTTAAGATAATAAGAGAGAGAGGACCCTGAGATCAGATCAATAGCCGAGGGGAAGTGAAGAAAGGCTGTTTTTTTATCTTTGCACACCACAGATCATCATAATGACTTTGGGTGTCAATATTCAAAACGTTTAACCATTATCTGCTGCACTAAATAACATCAACATAAAAAAGTGCAAAAAATAAGTGTTTCAAGTCATCTCCTGTTAATGCATTAGTTTTTAGTCAGTGTTGTGCAGTTTTCAATCTCTACTCTTTTTCACCTTTCAAAAAAAAAATCAGCCTTCTACAGCACTTTACAAAAATCAACATTGCCCCCTAATGTCAGCAGAGGGGAAATGCATCAGTGGTTTTGGTAAAGGAGTCAATAAACAGGAAAAAGATAGAGCTGTGTCTGCAGATCCAGGCTTTCAACGGGCCCAGGGACAAATGCAGTGGTCGTTTAATCGAAAACCTCAAGCTTGATGAATAAACATTGCTGAGTTCATGACATGCTACACGTTGTCACCTGCTCAAAAGCTGAATTATGCATGAACTCCCTGTGTCCTTTTGGCTCCTTTTACTCCACTTTGTGTCATCTTTCTTGATGAAATCGGCTGCTTTTCTGTCATGTTGGAGATACTAGGTTGGGTGCCTTTTGTTTTAACATGTAGTAAAATAATAATAATAATAATAATCAGATTTTCAAGTGTCCCTTTTCTGCCAGTGTCCCTTTTCACAATTTGTGTAAGAATAGGAGGCGGTGAAAATATCCCACAAAATGTCCTTTTTTCCATCAACATTATAGTTTGAATATGTTGTAATTCTTTATAATTACAGTCCTTGACAAGTCACAGTGGGTTTCTGTTTGTTTTGTTTTCGTAATGAATATTTGTATAAATTTAACAGCGTGCAGGCATAAACAGATGGTAACACACTAATTCTTAGAACCAAAGAGTACGGCCTAATTTTCAATTTAAACTATCCAACAAGTGGCTAAATACAGACTTTTGGTGCTTTTTAAATAGTATGTTTTTTTTTTGTTTTTTTTTTAATGGAGCATGTTTCCTATGTCTTTGATCCATGTAACAAAACAAAACTTTGATCCATGTAACAAAACAAAACTCATGATGTTGAATACCTACAGCTGCTGTAGCATGGATCTAGGGCCATAATGAACAATACACTGAGTGGTATCTGTGCTGTTTTTATTTCTTCTTCCTGGTGTAGTGTATTGGCCCCATGTGTACCATTCATACTATAGCTATAGTAGCTATAAAATATGATTTTGGAGTTCTGCATTGCTATGGCAACATACCTACCCTTTGTCATTCTGAAATCCATTGCAAGACATACACATAGTTTTGATAGGCTCTATGATGGATGTGCAGTGTCTTTATTTAGAACAAATAAATAGTGCAATTAGACTGCTGTGAGCTCTTGGACAGAAAATAGTCAATACTCACCAAAAGCACTATATCATTATTGCTATTACATTGTTCTACAAATACAATAGTAATATACACTGTCTTCTCTAACAATCCTTGGGTTTCTATAACTGGTTGGCCTATGAGTCTTTATGAGTAATTCATGTTGTGGTGTTGTGTTGTGTTGTGAGGTCTGTTATCCAGTTATTTTGGAAAGAGTTTCTTGGTTGATTTATTATATTGGTGATTATAATTGTTATTTAAGATCTGACATTTTTGTTTCATAGACATGTTTGTCCCACCAGAAAGAGTGTAATTGCTGTGAACAAATCAGACCGCAAAATTATCTTTATCTTGGTAGATTTCTTGCTTTTGTTTCATTTTTTTTTTGAAAGTTAGGTATTCCAGCAAAACATAAAAGGGTATTCCCTTTTATCCTTTTATGTATTCAGTACTTTGCTGGGATACCTAACTTTCGAAAAATAAAAATAAAGAAACAAAAGCAATTCTATTAGCACGCACTTACAAGTATGCAAAAAATAAACCGTATTTATGAAACGTTCGGAAAGCACTCCAGTTTTACCAATAAGAAAAAGTCTATGGGGTCAATATATACAACTGTGGGAAGGCTGGGCGCGAGTGACAACTTTGTTGTCAGAAAAAGTTGATCTAAAAAGGCCAAAGATACATGCATGTGGGGAAACAGTGTTAGTACCATAGACTGATCCTACCCATAGACTGTAAATAGTAATCGTACCAAACCCTTGCCGTGGGAAAGGTACCTCCGTAGACTACAAGTTGCAGTGCTCCTCCTCGCTGCGTGAGGGCGCTCTCATCCTTGCGCGTGCTCAGAGGCTTCCTGTTTCTCACATGTATATACTACACATGCAGCCGATGTTGTGATGGATTCTTCTGAAAATAATAACGCTTCATCCTCTGGCGGCCAAGACAGCAATATGGATACATCAGAGGAAGGGAAACGTGAGCTGTGCCCTGGCTTCCAAGACGTGGACGCCTTCGTGAAAGTATGTTTGACTTGTATGCTAGCGACCAATGCAGACAACGTGGGTCATCATTCTAGTCACTACTGCTGCTAGTCTTGTTACTTGGGATTACTTGTATTTTGTGACCGTTTAAATTCATCTGCCAACTGTAATTTAATGTGCATTTCTCTGCACAAGTTCATGATTATACTATGTTTATGTTCACGTACAAGCCGTCCATGAGTAGAATAGAGTGTCAGCGGTTAATAATAATGACTGCATGACTGCAATTACAAGCACAAATCTATTATAATCATAGGGTCATGTCAGATATACCAGGGCCTCCAGCAGCGCCATCTCTTTTGGAATTCACACTAAGTAAGCGTGGGAGATTTGTAAACACATGACTTGTACTTTTATACCACATTTTAGGATATCATTTCTTAACAATGTTATTGTCCTGAATGCATAAATAACACAATTATATAAAAAAAAAAAAAAAAAAAGACAAAATCCCTTTATAAGAAAAATAAAGAATTGAAATTGTATTTAATCGCTAAGCACGCCTGTAAATAATACATATAATAATAATTTTGGGACAGAATAAGGCGTGACCCATATTAAGTTAGTTAGTCTAATGTACCACAATCCATTCAAATCAGATGGTTTTGGAAACTTTATCTTTTGATATATATCTGTACACTTGTATTGTTAACAATTTTATACACCCTTGCATTTCCTCCCGCACCAGTGAAAGTAGTTTAATTTGTGAAGAACACTTATTTTTTACACTTGTCCATTTCTCCTGCAGCATGGGCTTGGGGTAGTAGTGTCAGCCACCAAAGTCTCTGCTGGCCTGCCGCAACCTGGAGATGAGTTTGATTTCTATCGGAGTTTTCCTGGATTTCGGGAGTTCTGTGAAAGTCAAGGAGACAAACTTTTGCTTAGGTGAGATTTTATCATGCATGCATACATACATTTTTTGCAAAGCCTAGATAGTATTTCTTAACTTTTTACAAAGTGCAATGTGTAGATTATAAAATAGTTGAATAATTATTGACAAATATACTGTGCCTTATCATGTTATACTACATAATGTTAAGGCCAACACAATGTGTGCCTCTATCGGCTTCGTACAACTAGAACTTTCTATTCATAATGTTTTGCACAGATTTTCCCTGACTGGGCCATTCTAACAGTTGTTTTGTTTTATTCTTTTAAACCAATCCATTGTATGAAAATACTGTCATACAGAAGTCTCCAAGTCTACAGTCTTTTGCAGACACGGACCATTTTGTTCTATCAATATTCTCATTTACTCTTCCCTATTCTCCTGAAGAAAAGCAGGAAAAAGCTGCATGATGCGACCACAATCAGGTTTTACCTTCTGAGTGTGGTAATTAAAGTGAAGAGTCATGATTGCTAAACAATCATTTGTTTAGCAATCATGCATGTCACACTTTTCAGATTTTTATTGAAAATAAACAAAAGACATTAAAATCTTATTTTTGGTGTTACGTAAGATTACACTTAACAACTTCAGGTCAATAGTGCATTGTATGTCAGTGTAATGTGGCACACGTTTGGTAAAAATTTACTTGTGATTTTGTTTTGACAAATAGTACAGGATTCTGTAATAATAACATTTTAGATTATTAATATATAGATGTATCTTTTTTTTAAAGAAGATTTTCACTGGCTTTAAAAATTTGGAACAAGAATAGAGTGTATTATTTAAATAGTTTTGAATAAATAAAAATGCAACTGTGCTTCTTTAGATAAGGATGGAGATCCATTGGCAAAGTCCCATTAAGATAATGAAAATATTATTTAATTTTCTCTGATTACTCATAGAAAGTTGTTAGATGTGTCCCCCTAATATAATAGGGTTATATTAGGGGGATTATAGTATATGATATAATATAATCTGGCACAAACAATTAAATCTGCCTTTTATCTAAAAGCCCCTGACTCATTGTACCACTATGACATCATACTCAGAGCAATTTTCTAGCTTTAAAAAAAAGTATTGTCCATAACATGTTTCCTGGTGGTAGCATAGGGAGTTGATGCAGCGTTGGCATATATTTTCTACTTTTCATATTAAAAAACATGAACAAAGTACAAATCATAATATTGTAATGGACAGAAATGATTTATATCTCTTTAATTCTATGCAGTTTTCCCAATATTCTAATTGTGACCAATGACACTGAATCTTACAACCCCCACATAGTACTTTTTATTCTTGAAAAAAGGCTGTTACCTCATGAAAGGTAATTTTTTAATTGTCTGCTTTTAACAGTTTTATGCCTTTTTTTAAAACATTTTTTTAAAGGCAACCTTGAGTCCTCAGTAGCATACAAATAAATGTTATTATTATTATTATCATTATATGTAGATATTTGATTAATTATTCTGTTCTGTGTGCGCGCGTGTGTTTGTGTGTTGTTCAGTATGAGTCAGATAATGCAACATCACGGCTGCAGATCTCACCTGAGGGACCAAAGTAAGCTGACTGGGCTGGAGGAGAGGTTTGATTTGGTCGTGGATTCAAATGACGCCATCCTTGAGCGAGTGGTAAGAACGATGTTTCATTTTGTCAATAAAGAGTGTAGGAAAACGTAGTTAAAACTGCTGCGTTACTTTATTCTTTTCTTAGGGCATGCTCCTGGATGAAGCCGATGGGGTGAACAGAAGCCAGCAGCCTGTCATGCCTGCGGGATTTCAGCCTCCCAAGATTGTAGTCTCCAGTTGGAATCGCAAGGTTGGCTCATTAACCTCTCAGCTCTAATAATGTTGATGCCACTCTGGTTTGGGCGGTGTTCAAGTTGAAACTTTAGTGCCAGTCTTGGACTTTTTACACTTTAAAGTTGAATAAAGTTTCCCAAAAGCGTAACAATCACTGAAAGTCTTTTTGTTTTTTTTGTTTAGGGTTCAAGTTCTAGCAAACGCTCTGAAACGTATAAACTTCTACACGCCAAGAATGTAGCGAGGCCACAACTGAAATTTAAAGAGAAAATCGACAACTCCAATACGCCATTTGTCCCCAAAATCTTTATTAAACCCAATGCAACGAAGCCTCTTCCATCCTGTAAGCCATTATCTAATTTAGTAAAAAGTCTTTGTTTGTATTTCTGCATCTTATCCAAATACTTTTGTTCAGATTTCAGCAACAAACAAATCTGTAAACAAAGACCAGAGGACCTGGATGTACCGGCTGCACTGGCTGATTTCATTCATCAGCAACGGACTCAGGAGCATGTGGACAACATGTAATACTTGTTTGGTTTTGATTTTATTACATTTTCTTGAGCATAAAGTTGTTCACGGTGTTTGTTTGTAGGTTTGCACACCCTTATCAGTATGAAATCGATCATATTGCATTAGCAGAGAGTCTATTGTCAAAGCCAGAGCCTCAGGTATGACTAAAACTTAAATGCTCTACGCCAGTATCCTTTGTGTTATCACAGAATTGTTTTTTAGATGTACAAAGAGATGGCAGAGACCAAATTAACTTATATCGACACATTAGAAGAATTGGTCTCATTGAATGAGAAGCTCTGCAAACAGCAAGAATTTGCTGTGGATCTTGAGGTATGTTATCCCATTTTCCACTATTAGACTATTCTTTATTACTAAGACTTTCTTGTTCACCATAGCACCATTCCTATCGGAGCTTCTTGGGGATCACGTGCCTGATGCAGATCTCAACTAGAGACGAGGACTTCATTATAGATACACTTGAACTGCGCAGTGAGATGTACATCCTGAATGAATCCTTCACAGATCCTGCCATTGTCAAGGTAAATGCCACATTGCAATATTAATTTTTTTTAATTATTTTTTTGAGTCATAGTAGCCATGTGTCAAAGTTGTGAATGTTTTTTACATGTATTGCCAAGAATAGCTAAAGCTCTTGGCATCTGCTGATATATCTGCCGTGGCCGTTTGGTCTTGGATAATTAAGGCTATATCCACACGAAGACAAAACGCTTATAATTTCAGAAACTTTTTCTGTAAACACGGAGTTAGCTCAGTAAATGTGTGCGTCCATATGAATGTAGTCAATACGCCTGAAAACGCTGTGAAACTATGCCAGACCTGTTGGTGGCGCTGTGACGCAATGACGGGATCAAGCCCAAACTTCCGTGACGGGAACTGGGCATGCGCGGAATTTTGTAAACAGACAACATGGCGAGTGGGCGAGCTGGTACTACATTAGTATGGACGGACGATGAGGTTGAACTGTTGCTTCGGGTCACACTGGATTACAAAACCAACAAGCTACATTGTTGTTGTCATTATTTTCTGAGTGCGGCGCATGCGTGCTTTAACAAGAGGCGGGGCGATGACGCAAGCGTCTCAGATACATTCGGAGAGGCAGTAACCACGGAGCGGCATATACGGAGTTTTGAAATCTTTCCACTCTGGGACCTGGTTTCAAAAATGTTCGTTTACACCCCCCCAAAACGCCGGCCTCGTATGGACGATACACTGGATTGATAAAGTATTTTTGCGTTTAGGCCTGAGCTTGACTTCGTGTGGACAGGGCCTTAAGCTAGGATTATGGCTGACATATTGGTTCCCACAATTAAGCTGTGTCACTGCATTCATAGACTTGAGAGATAAAAGTGGTTTTAAAATAACCTCAGGGAGAATATATTATAAGAATATTAAAGAGAAGGGGCTCAGACTACATAATGAGTTCACAATCCTGTCCTAAATCCTCTGAACGGCACTGATAAAAATTAAGGCGAATTTGTAGTGCATTTTATATCGCCAAAAGTTGGTGAAGCTGCAACTTTTGCTTGTTGGATCATCTGTAATTGGTCATATATTCTATGGAGTTGAAAGTGCCCTATGGCGTGTGTGGGTGGCCTGTGACTCACTATGTGGGCCACCTGCGAAATAACGTGGGCTGCATCTTATCAGACAGACATGAGCTGTGGAAATGCTTCTTTGACAAAGATTAATAATACTGTTTAGATAAAACTGTAAATTGGCTGATTTCACAGCTGTTTTCTTTTGTGAATGTGTGGCAGGTTTTCCATGGTGCAGACTCTGACATGGAGTGGTTACAGAGAGACTTTGGCATATATGTCGTGAACCTGTTTGACACGCATCAGGGCAGCCGTGCTTTAAACTTGGCCCGACATTCTTTAGAGCATCTCCTCAAGCACTTCTGCAATGTGGACACTGACAAACGCTACCAACTCTCTGATTGGAGAATACGGTATTGAAATACATTTTGGTTGGACACTTTTCACAAACTTTTCTGCTTTTAATTTATTTAGAAAATGCATGTTGATAATGCTTCTTATTGGGCTGCTTGATTATTTGCACTTTAAGAGGCTGCAATTAGCACAAAGGCCTCAATTATTTAAGATGGCCACACACTTTTCAATATCATTTGATTTTCAAATATTGTCCTCAAAATTACTGTGTGAGTCTCATACGAGGAATGCGGCAGGTGTGACCACACTGTACGGAGTGATGGACACGCGTAATTCATACCCTTTCAGCGGCTCACACTGTGTGGTTCTTGTATGGGATGTGAGCCAATTGTCTTCTGTGTATGAGCCATCAGAAGTGCCAGCCGAGGTGTGTACAGCTCTGGCTACTCCGTGTGTACACTTCTAAACATATTAAAAATATTCGCTAACTGCTAATGCTATACACGGCTTTGTGAGTTCTCCTGCAGCGATTTTGATCCTCGACGTCAAGTATCAAACATGTATGATATCCCCACGATGGCGTGATCTGTATTTGTGAGCTTATTGGCAGGTAATTAGTTAATATTTTAGTGCAACAAAAACTTTAGCAAAATCAGGCCTAAAATTACACAGTGTTCGCCCAAAATTGGACATCATTATTTCTTTACAAACGGCAATGCTGTGTTTAGAGCTCAGAAATGGGTTTAGGAATCACTGGAATATTTCTCTTTACTTAACTTTTTGTGTTTTATCTTCTATGGAAACGGCAAGACCACTCTTGTCTCACTTAGTTTTAAGAACTTGCTTGTCATTGAAATGAAACCAATATAGTAAAAATATATATTGGGTTTCAATTTCCCAGTTTTTACCTGATATTTGAATTTGCCTGGTGTAGTTTCAACATGATCTAATAGCTTCATAACATAAATTGCAAATTGAATCGAGAAACCTCGAAATTAGATATTTAGAAAATGCCTTCAAATTGTGCAGCCCTAGCTCCTTATTCCTATTGGTCTATCTAAACCTATAAATAGTGTGAAAAATAAAAGCATATTCTGTACCTGGTCCCTTGCAGTCCGTTGCCTGAGGAGATGGTTCTATACGCCCGCTCAGACACCCACTACCTGCTCTATGTCTACGACTGTGTGAGGGCTCAACTGTTGGACTTCAACCATGGGCAGCCAGGACTTCTGCAGAGCGTTTGGAACAAGAGCAAAGACATTTCCCTCAAGGTACCGCAAAGATCCACATATAAACCGAGCTGGCTTATCCGTTGTTAAAAAGCCTTTTTATATTGATCTTAAAGACGTTTGTCATTCCTACCTTTTGACCTGGTTTATTTTAGAAATACATGAAGCCCATTTACACAGAGGACTCGTATCTGGAGGTGCAGAGGAAGCAGAAAAAACCTTATAACACACAGCAGCTCACTGCCTTCAGATTGCTGTTTGCCTGGAGGGACAAGCTGGCCAGGCAGGAAGATGAAAGCACTGGGTAGGCTGCTTCAAATGGACAAATGCTCTGTTTGGGAAAACTTGCTGGAGATGTTTGCCTATTTTTAGTTGCTGCAATTTTTCCTCAGCCCACATGCCATGACACTTCTTATACAGTTTGTTCTATTGCTTTGATATCAACATTTTATCTGTGATTAGATATGTCCTGCCCTTGCACATGATGAACAAGATATCCGAGGAACTGCCAAAGTATGTCTTGAATTAAAAATGTCTCGTGCACACGGTATGTGTCTTTCACATCTTCTCCATCTTGTATTTTCTGACAGAGAGCCACAGGGCATCATCGCTTGCTGTAACCCTGTGCCCCCATTGGTCAGGCAGCAAGTCAATGAGCTGCATTTATTAGTGCAACAGGCCAGAGAAATTCCACTCCTTAAGGTAAGCAGCAATGGCCAAAAAAGGGGAATAGTTGTGAAATAGTTTTTTTATGTTTTACATAGATATAATACACATACAGTGACATATTGGGCGGCACGGTGGCTGAGTGGATAGCACTCTTGCCTCTCAGCAAGAAGGTCCTGGGTTCGAATCCCGGTTAGACCAGGGCTTTTCTGAGTGGAGTTTGCATGTTCTCCCCGTGTCTGCGTAGGTTTCCTCCGGGTACTCCGGTTTCCCCTACCACTAAAAATATGTACAATAGGTCTGGCATGTGCCTCCTGTACTAGGACCCCCACTCCAAAAAATAACAATTGTAAACCGCTTTGAGACTCCGATGTGCAGTGAAAAGGCGGTATATAAATAAAGATTACATTACATATTGCAGGATTTTATTTCGCTACAAAAGGATTGTACTTTTTCACAATATTTATGTTTTTCTGTATTTTACGGAAGCTTGTTAGGTTCACTTGTGAGTGTGTTTTTTTTTCCGCTGGTATCATGTTATTTCATGATACTTTCATGAAATAACATGATAAATATCATGTTATTTCATGATACACAACTATCATGTTATTTCATGATACCAATTTATCATGTTATTTCATGATACCAGTTTATCATGTTATTTCATGATACCAATTTATCATGTTATTTCATGATACCAATTTATCATGTTATTTCATGATACCAATTTATCATGTTATTTCATGATACCAGTTTATCATGAAATAACATGATACTGTAGATACAGAAGAAGAAGAAGCTGTCAGCTTCTGATAAATTGGTATCATGAAATAACATGAGAGTTGTGTATCATGAGATAACATGATAGTTGTGTATCATGAAATAACATGATAGTTGTGTATCATGAAATAACATGATAGTTTTGTATCATGAAATAACATGATAAATTGGTATCATGAAATAACATGATACATTGGTATCATGAAATAACATGATAGTTGTGTATCATGAAATAACATGATATTTATCATGTTATTTCATGAAAGTATCATGAAATAACATGATACCAGCGGAAGAAAAAATCACACTCACAAGTGAACCTAACAAGCTTCCGTAGTATTTGCTGTAGATTAAACTTCTTTTACCTTGCAGGCTGAAATTATAGCTCAAACGAACAAAGGACTTACACCAATAAAAAAGGTTTGTATAGTTGTGTTGAATATAGTTTTCATATTGTCGGTGGCGCTAATGTGTTTTTCTGTGTTTTTAGCCAGAGGTGACTTTGTTTGGTCCACATGATACATCGCGTGTCTCTGAGAGCGACATCCCCCCGTTTATATCTCATGGTGAGTTTTACAGATTAAACGCAATATTCTAGTTCTCTAAACTTGTGTGTTTTTCCCTCCCAGAATTGCCCGTCAAACAAGGAACTCTGTTTGCAGAAGAGACGAGTATGGCTGTAGATGTAGACAGCCTAAGCAGTCTAATGGCCAATCCTAAGATTACAATATTTGAGGTTTGAAAATGGAAAAATACATATTCATCTCAGTTTATTGTTTTAAGATAAACCAGAGATAATTGGTTTTTCAGGAGTTATCAGGGAATGAGGCTGAAGATTTAAATTTAGGGTCTCAAATGAAAGCCAGGCGTATTATAGAGTCATTTGAAAATCCTTTCCGAATGGTAATAGTTCCTTACATTTTTATTACAATTTATTGAAATTACTCTTGCATGAATATTATTTCTGTTTTTAGTATTTGCCCTCAGAAGTGCATATCAACAAAAATGCAAAGTTTGACCCCAACTCCAAAATATTTGAGGTAATCAAGAACGGGCGGTTTGAATGTTTTATTTTTGAATTCTATCAAATGCATACTGCTTTTTCAGATTAGCAAACGCTGGAAGCTGCAGAGTATTGAGCAACAACAGAAGGAACTGGAGGCCAAGAAGAAAGCCAAAGAAGAAGCAAGAAAAGTCACGGGTAAGGAGCTTAACATGCATTTATTTGGAGCTTGCAAACAATATGGTTAAATGTCATCTTATTTAATTACGTCTCAACAGAGGAAAGGAAGAAGGCAAAAAAGAGCTACCAGGAATCTCTGCAGGATGTCGCCACTGTGCGCCAGCAAGCTGCGGTGAGTAATGCGCCCTCTTCTCTTTACTTTTCAATTTCCCCACCTCCAACAGGCTTCCAACTCTTTGACAGCTTTATTGATGCCCTGTTGGGAGATTCACACAAAAAGCACGAGTCATGCTCACCTCGGCCCCTGTGCATTCCTTTTCCAATTACACAATGTTAACCATTTGAACCTCTTTCACAACACCTGTTAGGTTGTTGTTAGGCTGTTATGGCTCAGCAGGAAAATGAATAACATTTTAAATTCTAACATTATGTATTTTAAAGCTCAATTTTGTTTTTCTTTGCAAAAATCAACCCACAATATCAGTTTTTTTTGTAGAATTCATTGTTACATTGCTTATTGTATAACATAAGTCAAAATATTTCAGTATTAGACTCAATTTGACTTGAACAGAGCAGTGATTACATTTAGATTTTTGTAATAAGGTAGTTTGTTGATAATACAATGACCTCAAGTGGCTTTAAAAAAAAAAAGCTTTACTTCAGCGTTATCCAAATCAAATTTAGATAAAATCTAAATAATTACATCCTTATTGTATACATAAGAATTGTTGTATCAATATATTGACGGTGAACAGCCTTCATACACAAATGCAATTGTAATTGAATATTTCAATTAACTCAATGAATTGTTTCAGCCCTATAGTAAGGTCTCCCTTTAGTGCTAAAGTTTACTGTGACAGGCTGCCCGTAGCTTTGTAGTATTTATATCTGTCATATGGCCTGCCTAAGGGATGGAGGATACTCACCATGGGACCTATGCATTAGTGACATCCTCTCATCAAATTTCCTGTGCTTTTCTTTCACTCCTGGGACACTACTGTGGCTTCCCCAAAGGCCAACTTCCTGTTAGTGGATTCTCAATGGGCTTTATCCCTGCTCTGTCCCGCTTGGTTAGTCTTATGCTGTTAATTCACCATATGGCGCCTCGTTTTGGCATCTCAATTCATGTACACAAAAAGGTTTTTCTGTGACCACAGCATAGATATTGTCTTTGCTATTTTTCTTTTTACTTGAATAATTTGAGCCTCGCCTCACTTGAGGTGCACGCACAAGGCCATCTGCTGGATGTAGGTGTATGTGATTAACTATCTTAAAAACAGTCCCTTTTGAAGAAAAAAAAGATGTGTGAGTTGGCAAAGTCTGGATCACTGCATCACAGAGCTGGCAGCAGAAACTGAAAGTGGCGCTCGCCTTTCTGCCAACCCGGGGCAAATATTGGCTGAGCGGACTCCCTGTCAGTTTCAGCTGACACTCGGGTTCTGCGGTTTTAAAGCCAATGTGTTGGAATAAATATGTACAATGGCAAGTTCGCAATGACAAAGACTGTGGTATCCATTGTAATTATTATGACTAAAAAGATGGGGGAAAATACCATTTCTTTTTCAGCAAAATGTATGTGCATTATAGTGTATTCAAATTGTCTTCAAGTGGTAAGTGGAGGTGAATAGCGTCTTGTAACAAAGCTTAACAAGTATGAATCATGATGAATCTTTCAAGAAAATCATCCAGCCAAACCTTGGTTTTAGAATGAGCAATTAAGGCTGTTGCCTTTTTAAACATAAATAAAATATTACATCTGATGTAGCCAAATTTAACGCATTAAAAGATTTAAATCTTAACCAAATTTAAGAAAAGTGTCGTGGCATTTGAGAGGCTATCATTGATTACTGTTGATCGCCATTCAGACAGACTCTGGTGCCAGTACAATATTTTGATACACGTTCAAAGATTCCCAAATCGCCTCAAGGTTTTGATGTGGTGTAAATAAAACTACTATCACCAAATTATGATTTAAAATTGTTACAGTGAGACAGTTGGTTACAATTATTTGATGAATTACATGCGCACACAGCAGGGCGGCAGCACTAGGGCTATGAGAGTAAAATTAAAGTTTATTTTATTTATAATTGTATGTTGACCCAGAGAAGTGGGATTACATTTTCCCTTAACAGCTATTCAAAAGGTCTTGAATTTGACTTGACCAATTCGGGGACTATGCCGTAAAAACAGCAATGGCTGCTTTACCCCTAAAAGTGAAGAGAAGATCTATACCAAAAGAATCCTAAGGTGAGATCTCTTAAGTCACTAAAAGTCCTCCTCTCTATTCTTAAGAGTTCTGTAAGAGGACAAAATGGCACATGGAAGAGACAGAGATATTCTGCACTGGATGACAGTGGGGCCAAACCTCTCAAAACACTTTTATGCTCAATTGAGCCAGAAGCAAACACTGTTCCTCTGTCCAGTTGGTTTGCTCTTTCTTTTATTCTCCATTGCTGTTCACTTGTCTGTGGTACATTTGAAAGTCAACCAACACGGCTTCTGATTGGCTGGTCAGCAATCACAGCTGTGCCATTTTACCCTCGCTACACCAGAGTGAGTAGAAATGGTAAACATTGAAAGAGACTATCACTGTTAATACTGTGCAAGTCAATCTAAGTTTTCACACATTTAATTCTGTATGATGATTTAAAAGTATAACTTTCTATTCACAACATTTATTTTACATTTACATATCTATCTTTTATGCTGAATATTATTTACAACGACCGTCTTCCTAAGATAAGATTCCATGATAAAGTTGTAGAGTTGTTGGTCAGGCAGTAAAATTCAAGCACTAGGCAGTGATTTAAAGATAAATTATGTGTTACTTTTGCAAATAGAACTACAAAAGTAAAACTTTAGAAATACAAATATTTTGAAAGTGAAGAGATGATCAAGGTTTTGGTAGCCTCCTCCATTTCCTTAGTGTTTTAGTAGAATAGGTCAGTTTTCCTGCTTTAGTTCTGATTTCATTTTGAAAGTATTCACAATCAAAACTTTGAGTCTGGGGATTTTCCTAAACCGAGCATATTGCCTCCAACAGATGGTTGCAAAATTGCAGTTAAAATATGAGTAGATTTTATGCACTATTAAAATCTCAAGGTAATTCATTCACTCTGGTAATCATTCATATGCCTGATTACTGCTGAGCCATATGTCGTGAACAGGCGTCAAGGGACAATAATTATCTTTAACAGGACATAATATATTTACCAATGCATTTTAATCAGTTTATCTACTGTTGATGATTTGCATGTTACAGGGTGCTGGTATCTACAGTGTCTGGTCTTCAATGCTGTGGGACAGTGTACCTCCCATAATACATTGATTTACATTTTTTATTTTATCAAAAAGCTAAAAAACTAAATCTGTTGACCATTATAATCACGCAATTTTCAGGAATCTGGAAAATCTGGAAAAGGAGTGGGGACGAAGAGAGAGAGGCTTCCCAGTGAGGTTGGAGAGTCTACTCCCAAAGCCATTAAAAAACCAAAGCCTCCACAGACTGAGGCCTCGGGCGACTCCTTCACCCCGTTCGACTACAGCCAGTCACAGCTGAACGTGTTTGCCTCTGGTATGTGTGGGTGTTCCTGTTTTGTTCTATTTTTTTCTTCACAATAATCAACGCTTAAATGTGCTATTGTACAGGGGCAAAACCAAAGGACGATGCACAGTTTGACCCTTTCAGACAGGGACGTGGATCAAAGAAAAAGGTAACTGTTCATTACTTTGTATGTTTATGTTTATGTTCATATTTATAAATTATGGATGAACTTTTTAACAGTTTGCCAAGGGACCAAAATCAAGTCCTGCTGCTGGCAATCGTAGTATGTCCTATATGCCCTCAAAGTCGAGCAGGTAACAAAGTGAGCTCATGAGAAAAGTGCTGTGGATGTTCATGTAACTTTTGCTCTTCATCTGCAGGGGCTTCAGGCACAACTGGCCAAAAAGATAATGTTTGTTTTCTCATTTGTTTCCCATGATTTTATAATTCCAATTGAAGCAATAGTACTATTGTAATTTTGATTTAAGTGTTGGGGATTTAATTATATTTCTAAACCTTTTTTTTTGGCCTTGGTTCAAGACTTTATGTAAATATGAGAAAGAATGAGACTTATTAAAGTGTTTTTAGAAGAAAAGTTGTTGGTATTTTGTAAAAGAAAAAAAATACATATTAATTGAATTAGCATATTTTTAAGTGTTTTGTCCTGTACTATACAAAAATAACAAGATGAAATTGAAGCTTATTTTGCTTTCATAGAAATGAAAGGGTGGACTTTTTTTTTTTGTTCCTATCATAGCAATCTAGAAAACTGCCTTTTTAACAATGTTGACCGCATTAATACTATAAGCCAGTGTACGTCTTGTGCAAAGGAATGAGGGACATGATTCACCTACATTTTCTGTATTACTAGGATCTGTAGTATTGACGTACAAAAAATAATAAAATATGACCTAATAATAGGGACGTACATACTAAAATTTGCACAAAAACATGTATCACACTTTGATCATTTACCTAAATATGTATACTTTATTGAATTGGTTAAATAAATTGTGATGCCATCAATCTGAAATTACTGTAAATCTTTGTTCTAATTACCTGTTTTAATTTGTCTTTTTTTTTAAATTGTTATATTTTACTGGCATTTTTCATATTGCCTGTAGCCTGTTCTTTAGTATAGTACATGTTGTCCCTCTTCAAAAAAAAAGAGTGATAATAGACCTGAATACATCCGGGAAATGAATGTGAATGACATTTATAAAATAGTTATTTGAAATTCAATGTAGTGCTGTTGACATGAACACCTCCCACCCACTGCACAGGACTGTAAAGGAGCTCCTTCAGTGGAAGACTGAGGCACCCTCAGAGGAAAAAGGAGCGCTACTGCAGAGCCTTCTTCCCCATCGCTGTCAGACTGTACAACAAGTCACTTCAAGTCACCTGCACTAGGACAAAAGAACCAGCACTGCTATTGCCTCTTTCTTATTGTACATAAACATATCCTGCAGAGACTATATTATTAACCTTAACATGTTGCACACTGCTTTTTTCACAATCAAAGTGATACTATCATTGTGAGACCAAGCTTATCTTATCTCATCTTGGATCATGTCCTGACCTTCCTGGCCACTAGGGGGACACGCCGCTCCTCTGTGCTGTGTCAGTGCAGAAGACGAAGAACCGCGGCTCACGTTCCAGCCACATTGGAGCTGTCTGCTGCTACACGCCTCAGCCTCAGCGCGTACAGTGCACACATTTGAGCCATGGACAACATCAAAGAAGGCTGGTTCACCGAGACGTGCACGCTGTGGCCGGGACAAGCCATGAGCCTGCAGGTGGAAGAGGTCCTGTACAACACGAAGTCCGCGTTTCAAGACGTGTTGGTGTTTAAGAGGTGACCACACTCAACTTTGCTGCGATGCTAGCTCCTCCTTAGCGGGGCTCGTCATCTACCAAAGGACATAAACACTGAAGTAGTGATGACGACATTATTAACATCTATAGATTACACATTTACAGCTCCATTTGGCTATTGTTTTACTACTTCCTGCATGTAGTGGAAGTTCCTAAGGTCCACGTCCTGTGTAACTTGACAGATTGAAGACGCCCCACGCGTTTCTCAAATACACCAGGCACACCTTACACTAGATCATTATTTGCTAAACACTTATAACAATTATGTTCATACAAGGTTTTCACCGGTTTGCCATTCTGATTTCCCTCACTCACGGTCTTTTAGTTCATTGATGTTTAGTTAGCGGTGGTTTACCCTTTTAACCTTAACCAGTGACATGACAAACAGCTGCTTGACATCTGTGTGAATGAGCCATTGACAGTTGTCCAACCTAAATATTTACTTAGTACATCCTACTTTTACATTGTTTCCTTAACGAAGAATATAGGACTGGTTCAAATTAACATGGTTAATTGTTAATGATAGAAAATAGTTGTGTCAACTATTTATAGACACCTAAGACCTATGGCAGAAGTTGTATACGTGTCACTTCACGATTACAGAAATGACGAATTGTGTTTCATTTGAACAAATGTTGACTAATGTTTCTGTAAAGCACAATCATATCATTCATGTTCAATTCAAACAATTGATTTAAGATATCAAGAAATGATTTCCATTACGCTACAAAATTATCCTTATTTATGGAGTTACATCTGAAATTGACATAGCAATAAGGAGTCAATCTAAATCTTGTTAATCTACATTAGAGATTTAAAAAAAATAAAAATTTACTCCAGCGTTCTCACCGGGCTTCATTTTGTCTGAAGACCAAAATGGCACAAGCAAGAGTCTGAAGTTGACATATGTCTTGTATCTTCGACAGATGCATGTTGAGACTAGATGAGGTTTTTCTCAAGGCTCTTAGTACTCATAATGCATATCAAGCAAGTCTCAAGGAAAAGGTTTAGGAGCAAACCTCTTGTTAGAATTTGACCGTATCCAATTATTGACATATGTTGCTTCATGTTATTAAATGTTGAAGGATTCTTTGAGTTACCGATAATAATGTTTGTTCGACTTTTGTAGTAAAACATACGGAAATGTCTTGGTGTTGGACGGGGTGATTCAATGCACAGAAAGAGATGAGTTTGCATATCAAGAAATGATCGCAAACCTTGCTGTCTGCAGTCACCCAAATCCTGAGAAGGTACAAGCAGAGTGTGCTACTGTTAAATAAAAACCATGCTTTATGCCTGATCCTGGTTTCACAGGTGCTTATCATTGGTGGAGGAGATGGTGGAGTGCTCAGAGAAGTGGTCAAACATCCACAAGTTCAAAAAGTTGTTCAGTGTGAGATCGATGAGGTAATGCATTTCTGTGTCTGTACGTCCCATGTTGGTGGAAGAGCAGCTGTCATTTATTCTCTCGTTTTGTGCACAGGATGTTATCAATGCTTCCAAAAAATACCTCCCAGGAATGGCCAAAGGGTTTTTCAGTCCAAAGCTGACTCTCCATGTGGGTGATGGTTTTGAATTCATGAAACAAAATCAGGATGCATTTGACATTATTATAACGGACTCTTCAGATCCAGTTGGTGAGTTTGGAGTTGATGAAATTTTCACTTCTATTTGCGATTATATCTTAAAGGGTAACTTACAAAGAACACAAAATGTAGTGTTCTAATTAGGGGAGGGACCCTCAGGGTACCTCACGATACGATACAATGTGCGATACAAAGCTCACAATAACGATTATCTCACGATATGACGATGCAGCGATCATCGATATATTGGTCATAAATATACCTACGATAATATTTTTCTTATTTATGCCATAAATAAAGTTAAATACTTTATTTCAAGATAAATGGATAAAGTGTCATGTGTAACATTAAAGTGAACAGGCAAAAATGACTTTTAACCTGCACATTTTAGTAAAAATCTTACTTAATCCGTCTCACATCCAATAAAATCAATATGAACATTCTACAGAAATTGTAGAATGCGTAATGTAGCCATATATTAAGTATCAATACTTTTTTTTTTTTTTCAAATAAAGCTAAAAATATTTTTTTAAATAAAATTGATACTTTGCAAAAGCATACTGATAATCGATTAAGTGAGAAAGTATCTCCATCAGTATATTGATATTATGTCACACTAATTCTAATCCTACATTGTATTGCTGGAATAATGGTATTCTAGCAATGTCTTTCATGACTCGTTCCGGGACTTCTTTTTAATGTATGTGTTATATCGTTAAGATTGATTCCCATCTCTAGTTTTTGCTCAGAAGTCAGTGTTGGTAGGTTTAACTTCCATTATTTTCTTCTGAGTTAATCATCTTAATAAATCATATTCATTCTTTTATAGTAGTCAGCCAACTCGTTTGCAATTTGTTTTGCCCTCGCCTCGGTTTCTTTTAGAAATAGGTTTTTATTTTATTTAACCGTGCCGACTGTTGGTGAGTGTTATTTAATTGTTTTACATTAATTGATACTGTTTTCAGGCCCCGCGGAGAGTCTTTTCAAAGAATCATACTATCAGCTGATGAAGACCGCCTTAAGAACAAATGGCATTCTTTGCTGCCAGGGTAAAAACTGCAAATCAGTGCAGGATATTTTTGTTACCACTATGACAAAAATCTAACCTCACTGTAGATGTTTGCTCTTTGTTTATATCTTTACAAATGGACCAATGCCAGAAAGTGAAATGGATATTAATGTGGCTTCATTCATTCACAGGAGAGTGCCAGTGGCTCCATTTGCAGCTGATAAAGGACATGCAAACTTTCTGCAAGTCTTTATTTCCAGTGGTGGACTATGCCTACTGCACTATCCCCACTTACCCCAGTGGGCAAATTGGATTCATGTGCTGCAGTAAAAATCCTGTAAGTCTTTATTTCTTTTTTGCTGATTCATCCTTTAATAGCTCAAGTACCGTAAATTACAGAAATCATACCGGAGGCCTGCATGCTTCATAAACTCATTATTTCCCTCCATTTCTTCAGGAAACAAATTTCCGTGTGCCAGAGAAAGTGCTGTCCAAAGAGGATATTGAAAGTATGAATCTTAAATATTACAATCCAGAAATTCACAAAGCTTCATTTGTCTTGCCGGAGTTTGCAAGAAAGGTAATGTATATGTGCACAAATTATACTTGATTCTTCCCATTTTTACTTGTTACTAATGAATGAGTCTTTGGCAGGTTTTGAGTGATGCGTGACCCAGACCAAGTAGCTTCTGTACCTCAGCTCAGCGCTCGCATGACTGATCTGTGATCAGAGCCGCTCCTGCAGGCTTTCACTCTTATCAGTCTTTCAAACTGTTTACTTTTTTATTTTGTCAACATGATCAAATGAGTGACATAGGAATGAGTTACTGTACCCTGAAAACTGACCTCAGACTAATATCCTTGTATCCACACAGTATGTACAGTGTATGCCGTATATGTACATGTATTGCTTTTTATTATTAATCTTATAAATGTACCTCTGGCTTTCCTGCGTCTTCACCCTTCCCTGTTTTTGGTTTCTTTCTGCTCATGAGCCTTACAGTGCCTCACCTTAAACTCTGGGATAAAAGGTGGTTTTCAGAGCAAGCAGGGTGGTAGTTAAGAATTCTTGTAGTATTTTAAGCTTTGTAATCTAGTTATGAATATGCAACTGTAACATGACACTAATATATATTATATATACACACACAGTGTGTCCTTCAAGTTAAAGATCGATATACATGTAACTTATCCCAATACAGTGAATCATCAGCCATGTCATTTGAGTCGTTACCTTTTAGTTGTAAAACAACGGGTGTCCAATGATACTGTTACCTAAACTGTTTTTATAATGAATTGTTAATAAATGCATGTACAGTAGTCAGTGCCTGATGTTTGTGTAATTTGTGCTCTGTGAAGGAGGGAAAAAAAAAATGTGCCCATCAAGTAACATCTAAGGAGTCGTATAACTGTTGAAAAACCCAAGTATTGATTTTCTGTTGTGAGGAAATTGCAATGAATCATGTGTTCACTAAATTTGACGTTGTGCATCACGAGCTATATTTTGAATACAATGCATGGTGTTGTTGCAACTTTGTTTCTGGAAATACTTCAATACAGTTTTAGCTGCAAATAACATTATTTGATATGTATTATATATTGTGAATACTAGGTATATCATGAGAATAATGATCACTTTCCATGTGTTTTGTAGCGGTCAGGGACGGAGCAGAATAGAAAAGCTTAGAGGACAGTCCAGGAAATACCATCTGACTCAAGTGAGGGTGATGTTTGTGGGAATGATGAAGAATTTTACCAGATAAAAGACAATTAGTAAATGGTAACAGCTGTGACAGTGCAGTAAGATGTAGAAGAAGATGCTGAGGAATATGAGGTGAATGAAGAGGCTGAGGGAGATGGCGCTGTCCGACTTGACCAAGCTCAAAAACACTAAACTGTAGATAGCAGACATGTTTACAAAGCCAATAAGTTTGAGGGACAATCTTTCCTTTTTAGGAGAGTGGTAGGTGAAGATTGAGGGAGGAGCCCCAATAGATTTCTTCATCAAATTCCGAATGAGCAGATGAATTATATAATGGTCAAATCAAACCTCTATGCATTGCAAAATGAAATAAAAACTACTGGGCATAGCATTGGGTGAACTGAAGAAGTTTCCAGATTAATTTGGTCATGTCATACTCAAATACTTCAGATGTACAACCCCATGCAGATGTGAAAGTCTTGTCTTACTTCTATGCTGATTAGTACCAGCCAAGTTCATTATAGTATTGTCATTTAGTCAGTGTAATAAATGTGTGTGTGTGTTTTTTTATGTATGTTTCGGACAACACATTTTACAGTTTGGGAATGTGTTAAAACAAGAAAAATACAATGCTAAAGATAAAATCAAAATGTCCTATGGTGTTTACAGTATTCTTATTCCGTTACTCAAATGCACATGTCACGTGTCACTAACTCCATGGAGAATTCATGTTTTTTCAAAATATTTTCTATCTCGTCATGCCTCAAGAGTAATTAAAACAATTGGCGAAAAATCTTGAAGAAGCCTATCATAATTCATGCATGTAAGGGAACATTACATGCATTACATTACATTACATTAGGATGACAGTAGCTCAGTTGGTAGACCTTTGAGCCAGAGGGTCGTGGGTTCGAGCCCGACCTTTACTATCGACTCCCACTGTCTGCTGTCATTGTGTCCTCGGCAAGACACTTAACCACAGTGGGGCGGCTGCGGCTGTAAAGTGCCAAACTGCCATTGTGTCCTTAGGCAAGACACTTCACCCCCATTGCCTAGAATGACTCTGGTGTGTGTGTGAATGGTTGGTGGTGGTCGGAGGGGCCGATGGCGCATACTGGTTGCTTCGCTTCTGTCAGTGTGCCCCAGGGCTGCTGTGGCTACAATTGTAGTTTATCACCACCGTGTATGGAGTGAAAGAATAATGACATGTGAAGTGTCTTTGTGTGTCCTGAAAAGCGCTATATAAAACCGATGCATTATTATTATTATTAACATTTTGAGAATGTAAGGAAGATCACTGTGTTAATTTAAGACACTTTGAGGTGAGAACTGATTGGCTTAGAAAGTCTTTCAAGTGAGGGAATTCACCATCTAAATTGATATAGAAAAAAATAAAGCTAAATTGGAATTTCAATGTTTAAGTATCTGCAATGTCAATATGTTTCCAAAGGGTGGCGTCATTCAACAAGGAAAAATAATCCGCTGCGTCTACCCAGATCTGAAGCATGTCGTGTATTCTGAGAGACAGCAGGTACTTTTCTAACACGTCTCCAGCTTCTACACTATGTTCTACACACAGGCCATACACGTGCAGTCTACTCCTACAGCCTTTTACCCAGCCCCAGGTGACATGCATGTGACACAGGACCCGTGATTCAGAATCAGACCAGGCTTCACGCTCAAATAAACAAAATACTGTGGAATATTGTGTTTGGAGAGAATCCTCACTGTGCACGGCCTTTCTGGAGTCTGGTCTCACACGTGGAGTGGATCCTGGATGTGTCATGACGACCCCACAGTTTAGGTCGTGTTCTCTGCAATACTGTAGATCTTGTCATGAGAGCTTTAAGCCACAGCCAGCTTGGACATCTTTACATATTTACTAAAGTCCAGGCAAAAACTACTCAATACAAATGATGCACTTTTTTCTATAACCTCTTTTGTGTTCTCCAGCTGTGTTTTTTCTACAAATATGACACAATTCAGTGCTTTTCTCACCTGTATTATCAGAAACTTAAAACTATATTTGGACTGATTGTGTGTCCATGTGTCTATTTGTATTTTGTCATTTTTAACAATGCAGTATAGCACAATTCATACAACTCACTGTTTCAGCAATGTGCTTTAGAACATAATATAGTATAATGATATACTATTATAAAGTATTTGTTTCAACTTTCTCACATGCGTGCTAAAACCAGTATCCAACTTATAAAACCTGTATCCAACTTATAAAACCTTTCCATATAAATTAGCTTTAATTTGTCATTGTTTGTTTTTTATCAGGGGAATGTTGTGGTTTATTTTTATTTATTTTTTGCCATCGAACAGTCTTTACTTCAGTTTTTAATTACATTTCTTTACTGATTTGTGCCCCACATTTTTCTTGCAACGTCACATTTTTATAAATTATATAAATATTAATCCTCCCTAGTTTAGAGTGGTTTTCAAGATGATCGTGACCACCCGGCCCTAAAGAGAAAAAAAAACATATTTAATTCATCCGTAGTTGTTTCTTCTTTCCTTTTGTAAAAGCAATGACTGTAACATTTGCTTTTGTTCAATCAGGAACCAGGAGGAGTTATGGGTGCTTGCATCTCTGTAACTGAAATTCACTATATTTGCATTTATAAAGGGAGATAGGACTTTATACCCCCAACTCAGACATGAAAGTATAATTTGTCAGGGAACTAAAAAAAACAGGCCAATACTTAGTAAGCCCTCTAGAATATTAGTATTATAGTTTAATTATTTTCATATTTTAAGTGAGTAAATAATATAATCTATTTTTAAGTGGCGCCTGTTGAATAGTGCCCCCGATGCCTTCCATGATATCTGATTGGGGGAGAACAATAGCCTTTAGTGGAGCCTTTTCCTTCAGCAGATCTGTCATGCGCGATTCCCCAAAGGCTTTTCCTCGTCTGGGTGCCCAGTGTTAAACCGCTCAATTGTAATCTGCAGGTGTCAGGGAGGAAAACACATGTGATACCACCACACAATAGGGCTGTAATCACTGTAGGCAGACTGGCCAAATGACCAGTAAGCACTCTGTTCCTCGTCTGGTAGAGTCTTGCGGGGTTGTTGCTCCATATTACACTTGCTGATGAGTGTGCTACATAAAAATAAAAAGCTTGATTTTTTTTGAGTGGCATTTTGAGACATCAAAAGCGCAGTGACGTATGTTTACTGCAGATGTTGCCACTTGAAGCCCACCGCAACAATTCGTCCAAAAGCCAAACTACTCAACGGCTCAATTTGTTCTGTCCTGACCCTCTATACACCCCTCCCCTGCAAGTACTTTCACCACCAGAGGCAGTCCTGTCGTCACACACACACACCAACACTTCTACGTCAGCCGCACCATGGGGAAGGCGTATAAAAGAGGGGGGGACTTTGGATGTAGAAGCAGAAGAACCAACCAAGTCTCTAGTGAGTGACCAACTAACTCTCATTACTACCCCTGCTGCTGTTCCCGCTGCTGCTGCTGCTGCTTGGCTTCCTTCGCTCTCCTCTCATTATCATCGGATGCCCCAATTGGCTTCGATTTAAAATCCGATTTCTTAAAGCACTTTGGACTTTTTGGATCGCAGCATGCAGATTTTGGTGATCTTAGCCTCTCTTATGGGGGTTCTATTCAGCGTCCAAGCAGCCTCTGCACTACCTGTGGACGACAGAAGTCCGCTCCTTGCAAGCAGGGTAAGCTCTAATTCATTTTTTACATTGTATATTTCATGATGATGATATTACAAAAAATAAATGAATTCAAAAATTGACGGTTTTTTTTTTGTCTTTCTTGCAGGAGTTAAGTAAAGAGCGTAAAGAGTTGATATTGAAGCTGGTTTCTGGATTGCTGGATGGGGCACTGGAGACCAACATGCTGCCCGGAGAGGCGTCCCCTTCTTTGGATTTGGAGGAGCCACTGGAGTCTCGCTTGGAGGAGAGGGCAGTGTACAATAGACTATCACTGCCCCAACGTGACCGCAAAGCTCCATGTAAAAACTTCTTCTGGAAAACATTCACGTCCTGCTAACAACACCAAAACGCCAAAAAGCCAAACATTGAGTTGCAACGATTTTTCTGGGCTGACCACGTGAACTGTAGTAAACCTCAGCTGTACATATCTCATCAGACATCTATGGACTTCACAAAGACGCGTGTCTGTTTCCTGAATATAATTTATCTATGTATTTATGTACACTATGGATGTATTTATGTATTTATTTTAGGTATAAATAAAGCATGATCTAATGTTTGACATGAGTTACTTGAGTTGTTTGATTTTTTTGAAATGGTGGAGGAATAAACATAAACCATTGTATTTCAGTGGTTTACATTTTAATATTTATGAATAAATGAATCCGTCAAATACAGCACTTATTAAAAAAACTTTTTTTATAATTCACAATATTTCAGTCATATTTACATACACCATTGTGCACTAACATGGTAATTGACATTGCTGATTATTCAAAAATATCAGATTTTTTTGCCAAATTTAAAAGTTATTATCCAATTAAAACAAATATTTTTCTACCAATGTACCACAGTATATCCACAATATTTGCTGGTCCTTTTCAAAAGCTTTAAAATTAATATTTGAGCTAAAACATCACCACTAGATTATTTGACATGTTTGATTCTCACAATAAGAGCTTTTGGGAAGAATATTTATAATTTTAACATCTCCCCATATGCTGCAGTCCTTTTTAGATGTGATGGTACTCAGAAAAAAAAATTGTGATGGTTAAAGTTCAAGTTTGGAAACCATTCATCTAGAAATGTATCAATCCAATCTTTCTAAAGAGTGAGCCACAAGTCTCAGAAGCATTGAAAAGAATCCCATATGTGCCACATGGACAGGCCTAACCACCGCAAGTCTTTCATAATGCAGAACTTTAGCTGCATAAAACAATGTTTGAGTTACTCAATCAAGACACTTTGATTTTTGTGACCAAAAATCATTCCTGACGTCTGTAGCTCCGCTCCTTTACAAAACAATTACCATATTCCCTCTGAGCACTTCTGGCATCCAGCCCTATTATGATATGTGTATTTTTTTGCAACCACCCACTGTTTCTCAGACACTGGCCACAATCAAATATCGACCTGCGCTGTTCGTTTTTAAAGGATTGATGAATATGAAGTGGGAAAATTACATACAGGTGCAGCGTCCTGCTGTTAAAGCCGTACAAATGTCGTTCCCACACAGATGGCTAATCATGGCGTGAATAAACAAATAAAAACAGCACATTGCGACGCACTCAGACAAATGGCTTTACTCATGAGAACCCCGCTGTTTCAGCCAGGCGATAAATCAGCTATTCTCTTGTTTTTTCTAATATTCCGTCTTATGTTGAAACTTCATAGTTACATTAACTCATACTTTGACATACTTTGGTGAGTAGTTTTTCCGATGGATAGTGCTGGACAGGCCGCATAAATTGTAGCATTGAGTCAACATCCATGTCATAGAATTAAATAATGAATTGATAAAGGATCTCTTATCTTAATGCGCTAAATTACAGTAGCTTATTTACATATTCTACACTCCTTATCAAGTTATACGTTTTATTGGTCTGCAGTAGAGGTAAAGGTGCGCTTTATTAATCCCCGTAGGGCAATTCCATCCTCTGCATTTGACCCATCCTGATGCCGCGAAGGCTTACGTCAGGAGCAGTGGTCGCCGTAGTACAGCGCCCGGGAACCCATCTCAGATGTTAATGCTCGGCTTGGTCAGGACTACCAGAGCTGGAGGATTTTACCTAGTGAGCATGTTTTTAGTGGTAGGGGAAACCGGAGTACCCAGAGGAAACCTACGCAGGCACGGGGAGAACATGCAAACTCCACTCAGAAAGACCCTGCTTCAACCGGTATTCAAACCCAGGACCTTCTTGCTGAGAAGCGAGAGTGCTATCCACTCAGCCACCGTGCCGCCATGGTACCTGTAACGACCATCAGTTGGTTGATGGGTTGGTTCTATTTGGGAACATTTTTGTTCCATAACCATGAGCATTATATCCATTACTTGGTGCTGGTGCAGGTGCAGATTTTGTATTTACTGTTCTTATATGGCATCGCTTTGCCTGGAATCCTACTCGATGGCTTGGTGCAAGAGTCCCACCACATTTAACACAAGAAAGCATTTGTGTGTGCTATTCATGCTCAGTCTTCAATCTGGCTTGAAGATCGCATATGAATCCACATTTGGTTTATTCAATCTTGTGACCTGAAACGTATAATTTTCTTACTAATCTGCTGAATATGGGTTGTGTCTTAATGCTTTGTAAACAAGATTGAACATTGAGGATCAGTGTTGTCTTTACAACAGCAAGGCCAACCATATTACAGGAGAAGAAAATCTGTTAAACTGATCATAAATTGAAAAATAACAAAAAACAAATACAAGCCAAGTACATTTATCCATAAGGCAAATCATAAAACTTAGGAAACACGATATAAATGTTTTTTATTTCCCCCCTCTCTGTTCTTATTTATTTCATACGCGTCTTCACATCATGGTAGATCCTCAATCTTATGGGACACCCCCGAAGGATGGATATAGAGTAGTCATTTATCTCCTCCACCAGCTTTTGTCTGACGTGATAGACAACAGATAAGCTCCTATATCTTGTTGAACACATGCAAAGACACAATTTAAAGAGAGTTCACAGCGCTGATTGATTACATTATGAAACGCACCGCTCCTTCCTACTCACTGGTGCCCTGCTGAGTTTGTATATGCCTTTAACTGAAAGGAAATGAACACTCTGTTATTCCTATTTAATGCAAATTTATACCAAAGAAGCACATGAACAACACTGTGCCATTTATAATTACAATGTGCTCTTGACTGTGTGGGGGTGCAGTTTTTGTTTATCTGAATGCTGGAAGGTACGTATACTGTAGCTGCACTGTGTAACTTTTCAGCTTGTTTGTATGTTTTGCATTTGTCAGGAATGTTCTTAAGTGTTTCCTTTAAGTAAGTAAGTAAGTAAGTAAGTATTTATTTATATACCGCCTTTTCACTGCAGATCTGAGTCTCAAAGCGGTTTACAATTGTTAATTTTTGGGCATTTGTCTCTCACTCCACACAGAGATGGGAGCGGGGTCGCCAGTACAGGAAGCGCATGCTAGAACTATTGGACATATTTTTAGTGGTAGGGGAAACCGGAGTACCCGGAGGAAACCTACGCAGACACGGGGAGAACATGCAAACTCCACTCAGAAAGGCCCTGGTCCGACCGGGATTCGAACCCAGGACCTTCTTGCTGAGAGGCGAGAGTGCTATCCACTCAGCCACCGTGCCGCCCGGTGGCTGAGCGTTTAACATGCAGTACTACTCAAAAGTGGCTCAGTTGGTAGAGCATCAGTCGTTTAAGGACAGTGGTGAAGATCCAGGACACTCAACATTCAACATCATTTGTGGACATTTATCAACACTTATGGAGATGGGTCAACTGTCCCTTATGGACCAATACTGACAGTGTTTTCTGTTCTATTTCTTGTGTTTGAACAGTTTGATTGTTGGCAAATTCAACGGTTGGGTAAAGTCCTCCAAAATAACTACCATTGTGATTTAGGCCGATATAAGAACATCCATCCATCCATCCATTTTCTTCCCCTTAATCCATTTCTGGGTCGGGGGGGTGGCAATCAGAGCTGCACCCAGTACACTTAGCACCAGCCCCTCACTGATCCTCCTGCAGGTGCTGAGTCCACAGGAGCCTAGATTATTCAGCGTGGGCTTCAGGCAAAGTGGGGTTAAGTGTCTTGCCCATGGACACAACAGCAGCAGTCATCAGTGGGAGTCATGAAGTAGGTCTTGTGGTGGGCTCGAACCCACAACCTTCAGGCTCTAAGGCCAGTGCTCTACCAACTGAGCCACTGTCACCACGATATAAGAATATATTCAAATGAAATGAATTTAATTAATTATTTAATCAGCACATTCAAATCCCAGGCCATGGTGCTCGACTGGAAGAAGGTGCCTTGCCCTCTCCAAGTGAATGAAGAGGTCCTTCCTCGAGTGGAGGAGTTCAAGAATCTCGGTGTCTTGTTCACAAGTGAGGGAAGGATGGAGCGTGAGATTGACAGGCGGATCGGTGCAGCGCGCGCAGTGACGGACCGTTGTGGTAAAGAGGGAGTTGAGCCGAAAGGGAAAGCTCTTGATTTACCGGTCAATCTTTGTTCCCACCCTCACCTATGGTCATGAGCTATGGGTAATGACCGAAATAACCAGATCGCAAATAAAAGTGGTGGAAATGAGCTTCCTCCGCAGACTGACTGGGTGTTCCTATAGAGATAGGGTAGGAGCTCAGTCACACTGGAGAAGCTCGGAGTAGAGCCGCTGCTTCTCCACGTCGAGAGGAACTAGTTGAAGTGGCTCAAGAAAATGAAAGAAAATGAATGGATTAAAGAAAATGAATGGATGGAAGAATTGAATTGGTCAGTTTGAACATAATGGTCGTGGGGGTCGACCATAGATGTCTGCTGTTGTTGTGTCCCTGAGCAAAACACTCCACTCACTTTTCCTGAAGCCTCTGCTGAAAAACCTATAGGCTGTGTCTTTGTCGATGGAGCAGCCATCTTCCCATGGACTCCCGTGCTTTGAGGATTGGGCGGCAGATCTGATCTAAGTAGAATTTTGTTAATAGAAATCTTGAAAAACATAACAAATTAACTTATGAGTAGCTCCACCATTGGCGCTTAAGAAAATTGTTAGGTTGACTTGATGCAAGTGTTTCCAGGAGGCAATATTTTTACCCGATGAAGATGGCTTCACTTGTTTACTCCTGTTCATCCCCAAAGGTCAAATATTCTCAGAAATTCAAAAGGATGGTCTTTCTTTATCCAACCTGAGCATCGGTGGTGTGTTGAGAGAGGCCTTGCTTCCGCAGCTTAATAATCTGTCAACAGGAGACTGAGATTCTATTTTTTTTTCCATCAGGAAGTTGTCAGGAAGTGTGAATGCCTGACAGACAATGCCATGTGTGTTTATTTTAGCTTTCATAGCTGATGTCTTTTTGTCAC